GAATCTTTACATTAAACAAGCCAAAAATTTTTTTGTAAATTCGCGTGCATGAAAACACATTTAAAAATTCGTTAAAAGGTTTCACTCATCGCTCGTATTTAAACACTTTGTTAACACAACTAAATACTTCTCTAATGAGTATTTTGGAATTTGAACAAAGATTTTTCAAAGAAGTCTTAGCCTTGACCGAAATTTTGAGAGAACCTCCTTCTTTTTATTGAATGTTTATCATTAATTTATTCTTAACAACAAAATTAAATTTCATAAAATCACTAAACTTAACCCGTTAATTACGGAATTTTTTTGGGACATTAGAGTGTATTTATTTGATGGATTGCAGTATAAAAAAAAGTTTGACGAAGAGTTTGGCTCAAATTAATGCACAGATTGAATAGAATTAACAAATTTTGTCCGTAACATATATGTTACGCTAGGAGTTTGCAAACAAAAATTTTTTCCTGCCAAAAATTTTAATTCTTTTATTTTACCTCTTTCCTTAACACATGTCAATAATGCAATGCTCTATTATTAATTCTATGTTTTTTGACATAATTAGAGTATAATTTAAATACTCTAATGCATAGGAAAACTGAAATAACTCAAATCTATTCACACTTTTATCTTATGTCATATCTTTAAAATGAGACATTTTTCAACGTTCGGACCTCACCAACTCGTTATTTCCATTCTATTTTATTAATCAATGCACTATGAAACACTCGCAATCAGTCTAAATCTTAGAAAAATCAATTTCAAATTTTCTCTTAATTTTTTTATGTTAATTTTTCAAACATCAAAAAATCCTCTTTAAAGCACTCATTTTAATATTTTTGCCACTAAATCATTTATTTTTATCATAATTTAGCTATACACAAAATAATTTGACATACTTCAAAGCCAAATTGGTTTAATTAATTAAATTATATTTTAAATTCAAAACGCTAAAATATTTGCAAAAAACTAGCGTTACATATATGTAACGGGCAGTTTATATCGTATTTTCCTAGCGTTACATATATGTTACATTTATTATTGTCACATAGTTAATGTATTTAACTATGGTTTTCCTTCATTATTAAGTTTTTAACTATAATTTTAAATGATTTTCCTTATAAATCTGTCCAGTTCTGATCAAAAATGTGTCAGAAAATGTCAAAATTTTAAGTTTTAAAATTACTAAAATTTCCACGAAAAAGAAAAGTTTAATTAACTTCTCCAATTTACAAAATTAAGCTACATGAAACGTTAAGGAAGGTTCCTGATTTAGCTATAAATGTAAATCAGTCATCAGATTCAATGTAAAATCAATTGAAGCCGAGAATTTAACGAAAAAGTTGGCGTAACATATATGTTACGCTAGTAAAGAACGGGTTAATTATTGAAAACAAACTTGCAGTTTTAATTATTTTCATAAAGTCCCAATTTAATATCAGCTATCAAAATGTCCTAATTTCATGAGCATAATAATTGAGAAAACCTTACTATCAGTATTAATAATAAAAAAATAATCAACAGATTCTTAATCGTTGAATAAATTTCTTTTTAAAATTAAACGACAAACTAAAGACTGAAAATCTCATAATATTTAAAGTTTTTAATTCTTATCATTACTCTAAATTTTACATTTTTTATGTGCATAGCAACATTTAATAATGTTTCATTTAATTAATGGAGTTACCAAAAATAATAATAATGCAGAACATATAATTTTTTTAACCGATTAGGTCAATATAAAGCTTCCTTAATTTGTTTGTTCCGCCTTATATCAACGAAATTAATAAAGAGAAATAAAAGATTATAATTATTATTAATTGCCCTTAAAATGTGTGCCAAGAGAGTTTCCCAGGTGTGCTATTTGAAATTGGTGGTTTCTTTAATTTTTGATAAATTTTAATTTACTTTTTTCAGTTTATTATCTTCATCAGATAAGTCAGTCTAAATTCTGAACACATTAATAGGTCTTCTGCACACCAAAACTAGAGTTTCAATAAAAATTGATCTAAAATAGAAATTATCGAGCATTTAAAATGCCATCAAAAATTCCAAATATCTCCCAATGTGTTATTAATCAAAAACATTTGAAACTTAATTTTTATTGATAATTCAATCAATATTTAAGTCAACAATAAATTAAAAAAGACCGCCCTGATAACTCCATCTTTAAATAAAACATTTTCAGACTTAGTTTAATAAGTAATAATAAGTCTAATAATAATTAATATATAAAAGTTGAACTCTTCAATTTGGATGTATTTTTATAAACATTAAGCGTTATCTTTATGCATTTTTCATAGCATATTACTTTGTTCTGTAACAATTTACTCGACAAAAATAAGTTTAGATTTAAGAGAAAAAAAAAATTAAAACTAATAAATTCTTCAAAATTTCGTTTCTTAAGATTAACATTTTTTTAAATTGTACATAAATTCAATACGTATCTATAGAAAAGCGAAGAGATGAGATATAAAGAACAACTTTGAAGAAGCATATTCAAATTTTCTATAGATAGGGTGAACTTATGTTTTTTAAGAAAAACAGAGGACATTTCCTCTACAATTTTGGCAATGTTTGAACAAATAAGACAATTTTGAATGTTTATTTTGAGCCAAATAATAGAGAATATTTGCGAGGATTGCTCAAAAAATAGAGGACAGTCCTCTGAATACCCAAGCAAAAAGTCAACTTATCTACAGAAGATGTAGACACGAGTGAAAATGTTTATATATAGAGTAAGAGAAATTATTCAAACATGCTTAGATAAATAAAACAATTAAGATTGACTTTAAACATATTTTTCTAATTTTAAAACTCAACTTAATCCCATCCAATAATCCACCCAATTTACATGAATCAGTAAATGGTTTCGAACAAAATATTTTTGTTTTTTGACTTTTGACATCAAAAGCCAATAATTGAAGACAATTTAAATTCAAAAGCAGTTTTAGGAACATTCCCTTATCCTTTATTTAAGTTAAACATTTTGTTGGAATAACAATTTTTTTAGCTAGATTTCGAAATTGATTTGCTTTGAGTCCACTTGACTATAGAACCACCTTTGCTGTACCGCATTTAAAAGAAGATTTATGTTGTGTATTAATTTACATTGAAATAAATTTTTCGGTAAAGTCCGTCGTTGTCAATTTATAGCAGTTTTGTTCAAACTTTTTAACTTGCGGTTCGTCATATTTTCAACAAAAAAATTAAATTAAATTATCGTTCCAGTCTTGCTTTTAATTCAAACAATCCCGCCTTAAATCATCATGGTACTTCTCCGTTTAGACTTACCATTGTACAATGTAAAGATATGACAAAACCATTCACAATCCGTGTGCTCAAGTTAATGAAATTAGATCATCCAGATGCTAGTATATCATAGATGCTAGTATACCTACCAAAGAAGCCTAAATCATATGCACAAAACCTCAAAACATGAGAAAGAGTTTCTTTAACTTGAATTGACTTGGAATTGAACCCAATAGTTAAAGAATTTGAATTTGATTCTTCAGAAGTTTGTATTTATATCAAAACGCATCGCTTTACTATAAGAGATTTCTGTAATCAGGATTTATTTAATAACTATTCATTCATCTGTTATTAATAGCATCATTTCTTCCTGATTACTTTCTATAATCACTTTTCATTTGATTTTCAAATAGTTTTAAAGAAGGTAAGTTAGGATATCGCAGAACTTAACACTTACAACTCTAGTTTTACAAGTCTACATGCAACATTCTAATATTGAAAATTAAAAACTTTATTAAAGTAATTTAATGATTATAATAAAATGTTGAAGACTTAAAAAAACAAAGAGTCTTACGTCTTTATTTAATCTTAATTATATTACAAGCAAACATTTGTCTAAATGTTCATTGTGTATTTTAAAAACATTCATTGATTATTTTAGAAGCATTTATTTCCAAAAAATTTCTCTTCCAAAATAATATTTGGCATTGCAAACTTCAAGCAAGCTTTAAGCTTTTTGAATTTTAGCAAGCATATTTAAAGCTTACTTGATACAAGTTTGTACAGCCGACCAATGCTTATATAAATTTTGTATCTTTTAACTATTTCTGAAAATCCAAAAAAAAGGTTTTCAACCCCTGACTTTGATTTATAAAAAGAAATAAATTAAAACTATTTTGTTTTTGAAAAAAATTCGAAAATTTAAAATAACGAAAATATCAAAAATTTTAAATAGCACAAATTTAAGTGAGTGTTCCACTTAAATTTCTTTAAAGCTTAAATTCTGAATTCAAATTTTTATAAATTCTATTTTTAAAATGAATGTTTCCAAAATACACTTTTACATTAGTCGAGTTGAACTTTAATATGAACCACGGTATTAGTTTAGCCTTGCCTCATCGGAATACCGTCGAAGAGGTTCATATTATGCTTCCTGGCGTATTCATCAATCACTTGTCGGCCTTTTTGTGTTCATTTTTTGTTTTATGGAAAAAAGTAAAAAGTAAAAATTTTGATATTAAAAATTTGTAAATAATAATTATTTAAAATAGATTTCAAAACTTCATCCAAAAGGAATAAAATTAAGATTCAACCTATTTTAAACAATTAAAAATTTAAACTGTTCCAAATCATGTTGAAGAATAAATAAGACGTACTAACTAGAACATGGTATGTTCTAGTTTACCCTGACTTAGTAGTATCTCAATTTTACTAAGAGTAAAAGAAATTCCATCAGGGCTTCGGTAAGTGTTAAAGTTTGAAAAAATTAAAAAGTTTAATCAAATTAAAGCAGTAAATCGCAGTGTTTTATTAACTACTTAAATTAACTTTTTAAATTGAGTCTTTGAAATTGTGATGACAAAAAAAATTCAAAATTAAGTTCGTCAAAATATTTTATCTTGAAAGCATTAATAAAATTTAATGCTTATTAGTCTTTCAAGTTTTTTTTTTTTTTTTTTGTTTCTTTGTTGTTCATTTACAAAATTAATTTGTATGTGAACTTGATGCTAAGCACACGACCACAATGCTCATTTATCAAAACATTTTGTGATCCCAAATAAAGAAATTAGAAATACAAGATATCGATTTTCTTATTCACTGTTTCACAGCATTTAGTTTCCCAAATTATTAATCAAATTTATCACAAAATAATATTTGGAAAACTATAAATAATTACATAATCTACCTACCTAAACGTTTTAAGGCAATTTTTATCAATTTATAGTCGAAATTTGAGCGACTTGGCTATAAAACAATTGTAACAATTTAATATAAAAAAAAATCAGAATTGACATCAAAATTAGTTGCTAAGTATATTGTCTTATGTACTCTGTTAAAAGCTAGTACATAATTTTGTTCAGTACCAATTCTTTCTGTCATTCCGCTTAAAACCCCGACCACATTTGTAAAAATGGCAGAGTTTAAAATAGAAATTTTAAATTATGACGATTTAAAATTTCAATAAGCATATTAATTCCTGTCGTCATGTCATGACGGGATATTATACTAATATATTATATTTTCCCATTTTTTAAATTCTTCTTTTCACTTTCTTCAATTAATCTTTCTTGCATATGCTGACGAATTATTGGATTATCATAAAAATGACGAGATGGTATAAATGGGAAAGATAAAACTGGAGAAAATCGTGGAGTATGAAAAGTTTGATCACTAACACTTTGAAAATATGAAGTTAATAGAGATTGTGAATGCAACCGAGATGCAGCAAAACTAGAGTTGGGCGATAATGACAATGGAGATGTTGAAGGCCCCTCTTTTCTAGTCTCTGAATTAGATTCTAATGGAGGACTTTTGTCTTTCGGTGCATCTCCTATTAGATAATCGATACTATGTGAAATTGAATTAGATCCTCTCAAATCATTGCTTGAACTACTTTTGTTTTCATTATCATCACAATTTTTCGACAAGTCAAGTATCATCTTTTTCTCAATATAATAGTTATAACACATCGTTTTACCTTCAATTAACAAACGTTCTGACAATTCTACATTTCCTTTTGTAGCTTTTACTAATGCGTAGAGTAATGGCATCATTTCATACACGCAGTTAAATTTTCGTACAATTTGTTCAGCTTTAACAATGTAGTCCTGCTTCTCTGAAATTTATAACAAAAGACATTGCAAAGATTTGATAAGAAAGACTTTTGCAATTGTATCTGATTAGCTTCATGATCTTTAATGAAAAATCAGCAACAATTGAATTTATCAAAAAAAAAAAAATCAAATCTTCCAAAGTCATTGATTCCTAATAAATAAACTTTTCAGAAAGCCCACAATTTATTGTACGTCTGTGCTATCAAAGTCCTCATTTGGTCCTTTTTCGACCAAAACGATTATTTCAATTGTCTAAAGCTTTAATTATGTTCAGGAAAAGTTTATTTATGCTGTCCACCGGCTTTTTCTTTAAAAGTGGGGCACTTTAAATTTAGACTTGATCGAAAAAGTTAAAACATAACGAATAATTTGTAATCCAAATGATAGACTATCCTCCTTAAAAAGCGCTTAGGTGGACATTATAATTATCAATGACTAGTTTTATATTTATTAAACCTATAAAAGTATAGAAGTTATATTTATATGACACAGTGAAATTAAGTTTTTTATTAAAATAGATTTGTCCGTAAGTTGGGATCACATGCGCTGACTTATTTCGTTTTATTTTTTTGTTTATAAAACTTATATAAACAAAATACAATTTAAAACAATGTTTGATTATTCGGAGACTTTATTTGAGTTCTCAGATAATCAAAGTAATTCTAGATGTTGCTAGACTCAGCTAAGTTTAAGTTGCTAAGTGGTTCTGTAATTTATCAGAACATGTAATAGTAAATCGTGGTTGGTAATTTAAATACTATCAATTTTAATTGAATTGAGCTTCAATTGAAATAATTTCAATAATTTAGGCTTAAGTCTAGGGCCAAGGGTTTTCTTTGTATTAAGATTATCTTTTGATGAGCCGATCCTTTAATTGTGAATAACATAAAATTTTATTTATTTGCTGATAATTGTGATAACCATAATATTTTATTAATTTCTCATAATAAGCTTAATAAAATATTTCAACGACATTTAAGCGAAGGAAATAAAAGTTAAATTTAATCGATTTTTAATGTCACAAGCATTCATTTGTATGATGAATCCATTAAATTTATTTTAATTTTCATTTTCGTCTCAAACTGCACCTTCCTCAACATGAATTGTTCATTTTTTATGAATGTGATTGTGATAAAAAATAAATATAAATGCAAAAAGTAGCAATGGAAACATAAAATTGGTTAGAAACTAAACAGACAAAGTTTATTGTTTTTTACAGTTTTACAACACTTAATTGCCTCAACATTGCATTAAAAGGCGTATCATACTACTATTGGCTGAATGGCATGACAATGAAATAAAAAAGTAAAGCTTCTCCCGCCACAAAAAAGCTAGAAACCAAAGCTTATAGTATTACAGTGATTTGAAAGTAATGTTGTTGGAAGAAAAGGTCAAATTTCATCCTACAGAATATTTTATGTTTAAAATTGAACCACATAACATGTTGTAGTTTTATTAATGATGCTGAATTTTTCAAAAGCTAGACTTGAATTCGAAAAATTCAATTTATTCAATTAACAAATTATTTTCAGTGATTCTTTCGATATTTGAGCTGAATTTATCAGTCAAACTAATATTGCAAATGCTACAGTTCCATATTAAGACCAAAGTCTTAATAGATTTTTTCAAAATGATCACTTTGAAGCAATATTATATCTAATTGTAAATGACAATCCCGATCGTCACATGTTAAAACGTTATTTGAAGCTATTTTCAGGAAGCAACTATTTGTTCATCAGTTACAAATTAATAAGTAAACTGATAGTTGCTCTCCCACCGTAAAAACAGCATTACAATGTGTGTTGATCGGGAATATGAGCACAAATAAAATTATGACATTTAATTATCCAAGATACACATTTTTTTTCGCTTACGATTTGCGTGTAATTATAAATGAAGCTGGTATTAAAAATAAACTAAGCATTCATGTAGCAAACATATTTCTTTTTACTTAAAAAAAATGCACGTTGAAACTTGATTTTTAAATTCATATTACGTGCACGTCCCTAGCAGCAAATCGGAACGATTCAGGGGGAAATTTTAAAAAATATTATTCAACATCAGAGTTTGAAAATAAAATGAAAATTGCTCTATTTTGAAAATAAATCAAAATGAAAATAATGAAAATTGCCAATTTTGATCAAAGCAATTTTGCAATTTTGTCAATTTCAGAAAATTGTTATTTTGGAAATTGTTTATTTTCGAAAATTGCAATTTTGGAAATTATCAATTTTCAATTTTGTGACGTCACAAAATTTCTTCGGGAATTTTGTATGAAAATTTTCATATGAATTGATGACTTTATGCTTGAGACTTTCCTTGATTTTTAATCAAAACCATTATCAGCAATCATAGCAGCAAATGATGAAAATTAATAACGAATCATAAGTACTATGCTATATGAGATATCCCATATGGAACTGGTTATGTCCAACTGACTGGAACTGCCAAAAAAAATTTTATTTGTTTTCTATACTTTTTAGACACTTTCAGGCATGGGGTGGAACCAGGCACTTCCTCTACTTCCAGATCTGATTTTAGGTGCTAACTATACCAGGGAGGTTAAAAAAAATCAGGTTAGCAAAAAAGTTCGGAAAATTCAGCAGTTCCTCTCCCCTAATAAAATTTACATCGAACATGTTTTTCATACATTTTCAGAAATGAATTTTTTTTTTTGATAATCATGTATGTATGGTGATGCAGCATTATGAGTACCTTTAATTTAAAATAAACTTAAAGGAACAACGCATCAAACACGCAGGAATTAGCAAGTATTAAGTTAAAAACGAATATCAACATCCAGGAAATAAACTGTATCTTTTGTTTTTCTGAAGAAAAAATTCATTTAAAAAGAAGAAAATTTTCATACAAAATTATTCATCAAATATTTATGACGTCACAAAAATAAAAATTGATAATTTCCAAAATTGCAATTTTGGAAAATAAACAATTTCCAAAATTGCAATTTTCTGAAATTGACAAAATTGCAAAATTGCTTTGATCAAAATTGGCAATTTTCATAATTTTCATTTTGATTTATTTTCAAAATAGAGCAATTTTCATTTTATTTTCAAACTCTGTTCAACATTGTTGCTTTTTAAATTCAACAAATTTCAATAATTTGGTTATAAAAATTAATAAAATTATGAATTTATTTTCAAAAAAGTTTTAATAGTTGTTGCCGAAAAGTTTCAATAAATTTTCTGAACAATAAATTTATGCTATTAATTGATATGATGATTAAAGTAATTCTTAATTCATCATTAATTTAATTCTTCTTGAAAAAAAAAATCATGATATTTTTATATAATTCTTCAAAAAATTTTGTGTCTAGTTTGTGTTTTAAAGATTTCCTTAAAAATATCTTAAACTTAAAAAATTCGTGACTGCATGAAAACAACTGTGTTTTTACACTTACAGCGATGTAGCCAGAATTTTTTATGGAGATAATCTATTGCTAAGAAAAGGGATGATTGCAACCTAATTAACCATAAGTCCCTAGCTACACCACTGCTTAGCTATAAAAATTATTTCTTACTGAAAATTGATGTGCATAAAAAAAAATATATAAGAATGTGAGAAGTATAAGTAAAGCTATCATTAAAATTTTCAAGCCTATCACTCATTGGTGTGTAGATGTTTTATGTAAAAAATGCAACTTTGTGGTTAAAATAATCGAAGAATTGAGGAGAAAAATTAAATGAAAACGGGTTTTCATGAGAAAGTGAATTAAATAATATTAATCTCAAGACTTGAAACGAATCCACCTTCACATATATCCCGAGCACATGCCAATCACTTTTCATGGCAGTTTTTGCAATGTTGGAGGTTTGCAATTAATTTGTTTTTGCAGGTTTTTTTTTGCTTTTTAATCTTCTTCATAAAATATATACTTTTAAGAGAATAAAGAGTAAATGTGATTCAAATCGTAAATACGAGTTGTTTTGTACTGCTTTGGCTAAGTATAAAATTGCAGTTTGGATTAGAAAGGATGAAAACTTTAACAGAAGCCGTTAGTCCGTTTTGGACTTAAGATTAGGAATTAAGTTTATTTGTTGTTCTTTTGAAAAGTGTTGGGTAATCCCCCCCCCCCCCCCTTTCCTATCCATTTTCTAAACTCATTTTCTAAACTCTTAAACTAATCTTAGATCGTAGACCCCTCTTGTTTTGAGAGGAATAAAACGCTAAGAAAATTCTTTACCTCTATTTTTTTTCATTCTTATCTAGTCATGTGTATGTGTCATCGCAATCCTTGAAACTAAGTATCAAATGGCAAATGATGAAAGATCAATATATGAGAAATTTTTCAAGTATTGTTTTATTGTACATTCTTTAAGAAGTCGCAACCATATCTAAACTAAATGAACATTGTCCACTTAACTGACTGCCTGTGCATTCTTAATATTTGAAGAAGAAAAAACACAGCAAATTTATAAAAAAAACTTTAAATTTAAACTTAAATCTCGAATACATTAAAGTTAAGACAAATAAAATTCGACATGATGTAATTCCCAACCTCCCACGTTGATTAATTCCTTAATAATTATCATTATGTAATTTATGATTCTCAGTAAACATAAATGCGCCTTCATTCATCATTTTCAATGACTTCACTACTATGATTTCTTATTTCCGTGCTATAAATGGAAGTATGTATGTAGATGCTTGACATAATGTTTAAAGCATGCACATGGAGGTTATTTAACTTTAATACTGCAATTGATTTGCTATACTGCTTTAAGAAATTATGCTTTGCTCCTTTAAAAAGAGAGAGAATAACTCTTTACATGTCGATAAATTCAATTTTCCGAAGAGCAAAAAGCTACTATACACGTGTGAAATGTCTATCATTCATTTCGTGTAAATGCATTGTATATACAGAAAGTTTTTTTATCTGTCTATTTTCATCATTCCTCTGTATGTACTATACTTATATTGAAAGTGACCTTGATTTATCGCAACAATGTTGCCAACGTTACTAATTAAGTTTCATGTCGCTTTT